AATACGTGCAGCTGTCAATCAATTCAGGAGGCGGGAGGACCGCACTCCTACATCAAGTTGCGGTCGGTCTGAAAACCGCTCCAATTGGTCTACCGTTTTCATGTTGTTAAATTTGAAAAAAAAAAAGAAGGACTGGGTGTGTTTATATCACCCCAATATGACGGTCTATACACTATATCTACACAGATGTCTTTCCAAACAGCTTGAAAAGTAGATTTTTTACCATAAGAGACCTTTAAGGTTGTGTACATTTAAAGGGTCATGAAATTAATTGAGGTAAAGTTGGCTTTATATTTGCACATTTGTTTATTTTAGAACTGTGCCACTGTCCCTATATTGCTTACCACGCTACTTTGAACATTTAGTCAGAAATAGCATATAATTATGACTTTAAAACAACATTAACACTATTTAACTGACTGTGAACAGTGCTGTACTTTGATAGTCATTAGATGATAATGTGATTTGCATATTTAAAACTGGCAAAAAATAGATTTCTGAAATAATATCATGAAAGAGAAAGTGCGAGTATAAAGCCAACTTTAGCCTAATTTTTTTTTTTACACTTATACGGGAACCTTTTACCATTAAAAAATACACTCTTTAGTAAAAGAAAACAAAAAAAAACGAGTGTTGCCAGAAAATCAAAATGATGAAAAACAAGGTTGTTTCTTCATGATAAATATATTTGAGGATTGAAATAAAATGTAAAAAACCTAGACATTGTGATGAAGATGAGGTTGTTTCTTCATGATAAATAGATTTGAGGATTGAAATTAAATGTAGTTGCTTTATTTTAGAGGTTTGGTGAAGGCAGGTCATTTTTTTAAGCCTTGGGAGAATCTGAATACACAGACTTTTAAGACCACGCGAGGGTTAAAGCAATGTTTCTCTATTCAAGTGGTGAAGAACCGAACTAAGGTAAAGTGGGTTTTATATTCGCACATTCGTTCATTTTTGAACAGTAACAGTCCCTATTTTGTTTACCACACTAGGTTGAACATTTGGTCAGAAATAGCATACGATGATGACTTCAAAACAACATTAATATTATTTAATTAACTGAACAATGTTGTGTTTTGATAGTCGTTGGCTGCTAATGTGATTTTGCAAACAATACATTTCTGAAATTAAATCATTAAGGAGAAAGTCAGAATGTGTGAATATTATGCCAATTGCTTTTCACACTAATGCGGTACCTTTAGCATTGGTAAACACACCCTTTACTATAGTGAAAAACGAGTGTTGTCAACTAAAACACTGATGAAACACTGCACACTAATAAGGGAAAGCCCAGACATTCACAGACTTTGTGATGAAGATGAGGTTGTTTTTATGATGAATAGATTTGAGGATTGAAATTTAATTAGCTGCTTTATATTAAAGCCTTAGAAGTGATTTGTTAAGCCTCAACAAAAAAAGACAGACTTTTAAGACCACTATTACGGTTGCCGTTTATTGGTGGGATTTTTGTGCCCGTTTTCTCTCTGTTTCTCTCCCTCTCTTTTTCTCTCTCTCTTTCTCTCTTACCATCTCTACCTGTCGTATCCTTTAGGTCCGCCTTTGTGGAAGCCGATTGGTCGGGAGACCAGTCACTCATCATTGGGTGACGTGGCGCTGTCACATATAAGGACGCCAGGGAGAGCGGATGACAGTGCGCTTTTCCTTTGATCCCGTTTTCGTGTGTTTTTGCCGACATGATTTTGTTATTTGTTACTTTTGCTTAACTTTTGTTTGGATCAAATTATTTAGTATATTTTCTGCCCATCTTTGTGATTTCTGTATATTTATTTTCGATTGTTTGTTTGTTACTTTTGGTACAACTCTTACCTGCCAAACCAAAAAGAGATAATATTGAGAGTTGACTTTGTCCTCAGAGTAAGGTGGACAGGGAAGATGTCGTACGACTTCCATCCTACAAACACGTAGTCAATCCATTGTTTAAAACACCAGGTAAGAAGTGAATGCCACTTATGTATTTGTTTTGTTTTAGTTCAGAATAGGTAAGGTTACGGCGCTCGGTGCTGAAGATTTTTCTTTTCTTTTTCTTTTCATGTTTCTAGCGAGGTAAGGGGTTTACTTATGAGTTAGAATTGTTTTGTTATATTTATTTCTTTGATTTGGCTTCACTAGCGTCCCCTAACTCTTGAGTTGACCTGATTTTGTTTGATACTTTGTTTAATTTGTTACGTTATTATTATTGTAAATATTTTTCTTATTGTATATATATTTGTGCATTACTCTGATTTCACTTTTTGTACATTAAATCACTTTTGTTGGCAGTTTTGTTGTTTGTGTCTTTTACTTTCACCCATCATCTTGTAAAAGTACCACACCTTTTAAATGTTATTACTTTTACCCTAGACTAACATCAAAGAGGTTGTAACACCACACAAGGGTTAAATCAATGTTTTTCTATTCTAGTTTTAATTGAGGTAAACTTGGTTTTATATTCGCACATTTGTTCATTTTTGCACAGCGACATTGTTCACCACGCTACTTTGAATATTCGGTCAGAAATAGCATATAATTATCACTTCAAAACAACATCAGCACTATATTTAACTGACTGTGAACAGTGCTGTACTTTGATAGTCATTAGACGATAACATGATTTGCATATTTAAAACTGGCAAAGAATAGTTTTCAGCAATGATATTATTAAAGAGAAAGTGTGAATGTGCAAATATAAAACAAAATTTACCCCAATTGCTTTTAACACTTATGCAGGTACATTTAGCATAGTACAGTATTTAGTATAGATAATACACTCTTTAGTGAAAAATGAGTGTTGTCATTAAACACTGCACACTGGTAAGAGAAAACTTAGACATTCACAGAGTTTGTGATGAAGATGAGGTTGTTTCTTCGTAGGATTGAAATGTAATAAGTTGCTTTATTTTAGAGGTTTATAGGTGATTTTTTAAGCCTTAAGACAAACAGAATACGCAGAATGTTAAGACCACACAAGGTTTAAATTAATGTTTTTATATTTTAGTGCTGAAGAACTGAATTGAGGGAAAGTTAGTTTTATATTCACATTCGTTCATTTCTTGCAAGCCAATCTAACTAATGAAACAGCACACGGATTAGAGAAAAGCTAGACATTCCCCAAATTTGTGATGAAGATGAGGTTGTTTCTTCATGATAAATAGATTTGAGGATTGAAATTAAATGTAGTTGCTTTATTTTAGAGGTTTGGTGAAGGCAGGTCATTTTTAAGCCTTGGGAGAATCTGAATACACAGACTTTTAAGACCACGCAAGGGTTAAAGCAATGTTCTTCTATTCTAGTGGTGAAGAACAGAATTGAGGTAAAGTGGGTTTTATATTTGCACATTCGTTCATTTCTGAACAGTGACACGGTCCCTATGTTGTTCACCACGCTGGGTTGGACATTTGGTCAGAAACAGCATACGAAGATGACTTCAAAACAACATTAACACTATTTAAGTGACTGTGAACAGTGCTGTACTTTGATAGTCATTAGATGATAATGTGATTTGTATTTGCAAAATTGGCAATGAATAGTTTTTTTACAATGATATTATTAAAGAGAAAGTGCGAATGTGAGAATCTAAAACCAACTATACCCCAATTGCTTTTTACACTTATGCAGGTGCTTTTAGCATTAGAAAATACACCCTTTACTATAGAGAAATAATTTGTATCCTCAACAAACTAAACAATAATAAAATACTGCACACTGATAAGGAAAAATGTAGACATTCACCTGGTTTGTGATGAAGATGAGGTCGTTTCTTCATGATAAATAGATTTGAGAATTGAAATTAAATGTAGATGCTTTATTCTAAAGGTTTAGAGCTTTATTCTAAAGGTTTTTTAAGCCTTAAGAGAAACTGAATACACAGAATTTTAAGGCCATGCATTAAATCAACGTTTCAGTGGTGAAGAACCAAACTGAGGGAAAGTATTATATTTGCACATTCATTTATTTTTTAACAGTGACACAATCCCGATATTGTTCACCACGCTGCTTTGAATATTCGGTCAGAAATAGCATATAATTACGACTACAAAACAACATCAGCACTATTTAATTTACCATGAAAAGTGCTGTACTTTGATAGTCATTAGATGACAATATGATTTGCATATTTAAAATTGGCAAATAATAGTTTTTTGCAATTATATTATTAAAGAGAAAGTGTGAATGTGAGAATCTAAGACCAACTTTACCCCAATTGCTTTTTACATTAATGCAGGTACCTTTAGCATTAGAAAATACACTCTTTACTAAAGTGATACATTTGTATTGACAACTAATCAAACTGATGAAACACTGCATACTGATGAAAGAAAAGCTAGACATTTAAAGAGTGTGTGATGAAGATGAGGTCGTTTCTTCATGATAAATAGATTTGAGGTTTAAATGAAACTTATTTTAGAGGTTTAGTGAAGACCTCAGGCCAAACGGAATGCACACAATGTTAAGACCAAACAAGGGTTAAATCAATGTTATTTTATTATTGTGCTGAAAAACTGAATTGAGGTAAAATTTGGTCTTATAATCGTTTGTTTCTGAACAGTTACACATTCCCTATATTGTTTACCACGCTACTTTAAATATTCAGTCAGAAATAGCACAAGTGCGACTTCAAAACAACATTAACACCGTTTAATTGACTGTGAAAAGTGCTGTTCTTTAATACTCATTAGATGGTAATATAATTTGCATGATTAAAAACAGCAAAGTATACTTTTCTAAAGTGATATTATTAAAGAGAAACTCCGAATGTGCGAATATAAAGTCAAATTTAACGTTACCCCAATAAGAAACCGATCAGATCAGCTTCTGGATCTCCGGCCTGTGATCAGCTCGAACATTAGCACAGGCACAACCCGACTTAAACCCGCTCATTTGCTCATTTTGGTTTATTTAAAGTCTCTCAGAGCTCACAGCTTTAACGAGAGACCCTGAAACCCGCACAGAGCCTCGCCCCGGCCCGCTTCCCGTCGCGAGTCCGCGGTGTTTCTTACCGCTGTCACCGATGATCAGCAGCTTGAAGAGGTGATCGTAGTCGCGGGCCATGCCGGTGTCGAGTGGCTCAAACCCCGCTGCAGCTTCACGCCTCTCTCCAGCAGAACGCCTGACCGGAACCTGTCTGCCGTCCCGTCCGGTAAAGAGCGGACACTTTGAGCCCGATGGACGCCGAGAGCCGCGGTTTGTCGTAGGGGTTTGGCGGTGTCAGCAGTCAGTCGCTCATTACCGGAAACGGCGCTTCCTCCTGCTGCACCAGTGCGGCCGCGGACCAATCAGTGCGCGCCGTTGGCTTGTGACGTAACGGCCGTCAACAAGCGAGCGCCGCGATCCAAAGGATCAAAGGAAGCGTGTTTATGAATATGGGTCACGACCATTACATGATTGAAAAAATCATCAAATTATTCGTATTTCTCCGTTATTACATTCATAAAGTCAAGTGGATGGGAAAATTACTATAGAAGAGACCAAACCTGACATTAAACTGTATTTGAAATCTAAAACAAATGCAATAGTTTTCTTGATTATATTAAAAAAATTAAATATTAAATATACACATGAATAAATATCTGAAACTTTTTACTTGAAATAATAAAATATTACTTTTATTTTTCCATTTGTAAATTTTTTCCTTCAGCTTAGTCCCTTTATTCATCCGGGATCGCCACAGCAGAATGAACCACCAACTTATCCAGCATTTGTTTTACACAGCGGAAGCCTTTCCAGCAGTAACCCAGTATTAAAAAACTGCCATACACACACACACACATACACACACACACACACACACACACACTTCAAACAATTTAGTTTATTCAATTTACCTACCCTCACTGGCCATTTTATTTGGTAAAGTGTCCAACTGCTTGTTAATGCAAATCACATCCAATCAGATGGCGGCAACTGAATGCATTTAGGTATGTAGACATGGTCAAGACAATCTGCCGCAGTTCAAACCGAGCATCAGACTGGTTCCAGCTAATAGAAAGGCAACAGTAACTCAAATAACCACTCGCTACAATCGACAATTTGGCGTCAACAACATGAAAGCATGGATCCATCCTGCCTTGTATCAACGGTTCAGGCTTGTGGTGGTGGTGTAATGGTGTGGGGGATATTTTCATGGCACACTTTGGGCCCATTAGTACAATTGAGCATTGTATCACCGCCACAGCCTACTTGAGTAGTTGCTGACAATGTCCATCCCTTTATGACCATCTGAAGGCTACTTCCAGCAGGATAACGCGCCATGTCATAAAGCGTGAATCATCTCAGACTGGTTTCTTGAACATGACAATGAGTTCACTGTACTCAAATGGCCTCCACAGTCACCAGATCTCAATCCAATAGAGCACCTTTGGGATGTGGTGGAACGGGAGATTGGCATCATGGATGTGCAGCCGACAAATCTGCAGCAACTGCATGATGCAATCATGTCAATATGGAGCAAAATCTCTAAGGAATCTTTCCAGCACCTTGTTGAATCTCTGCCACTAAAGATTAAGGCAGTTCTGAAGGAAACAGAGGGTCCAACCCGGTACAAAGGTGTAGCTAATAAAGTGGTCTAGCATGTGTTTGGACTGTGGGGGAACCCACCCCAACACGGGAAGAACATGCAAAACCCACACAAAAATGCCAACTGGCCCAGTCGGGACAGTGTGAGGCATCAGCGCTAACCACTGATAAAGTATTCATAAAGTAAAACGACTGGAAAAAATAATAAACAATTGAAGCCTGACATTAAATTGTATTTCAACTCTAAATTTTCGAGTAGGCTTCAAATTCGTATTTTTTTCTTGCTTGTTTTTTTATTACAATATGTAAATAAATAAGACAAATCATACAAATAATCTATATTTCTCAGTTTTTTATTCTTAAATGCAAACAATTGGGTTGAAAATTCAGTCTAATAATTTTGAATCTGTTACTCAGAAATGTATTTTTCTTTTTTATTAGTACAAATATGAATCTTTTTTTCACAATAGCAGAACATTACATGTTAAAATTTAATGTAATTGTAATGGAGGCCAGCTAGCGAAGTGTTATACAGGTAAACCTCACTCCTCTGACCTCTAAAGGTGCTCTAGCGACTGACGTTAGAGGCCATGGTTTTGAGACTCTTTGTTAGAGCAATCGACTCCAATGCAAAGAATCGCCGGTTCGATCCCAGCTCAGACCGGGGTGGGTACAGTAGGACAGGTGGGTTACAAGTGGGGGCTTGTCCGGGATGAGAGTGAGGTTTAGGGGGGTGCGTGTAACGAAGGTTAGCTAGCGATGTGCTGTGCAGGTAAACCTAATTCCTCTGACCTAAAAAGGCCATAGTCTTTAGCGTCCTTGCTAGATCAACCGACTCCCATACAAAGAATTGCCGGTTCGATCCTAGCTCAGACCGGGTTGGGTGTAGTAGGACCTGTGGGTTACACATGGGGGCTCATCTGAGATGGGAGTTAGGTTTAAGGGGGATGAGTGTAACAGAGGCTAGCTAGCGAAGTGCTATGCAGGTAAACCTCACTCCTCTGACCTCTAAAGGTGCTCCAGCGACAGATGCTAGAGGCCATGGTCTTTAGCCTCCTTGTTAAAGCAACCGACTCCCATGCAACGAATCGCTGGTTCGATTCCAGCTCAGACGGATTTGAGTGCAGTAGTATTAGTAGGCTACATGCATTTCTGCCAATATTTGTCTGAGATTCTGTGAGCCAGGTGGTCGGGGGTGGTGGGGGGTTCAGTGCGTGGTGATATTTGTGGTGTTAGTAATTGTACCATGGACCGGGTTTCAGCAGCAATCAGGGCATTTTACATACTGTATCTAAATGCCGATTGCGGAGGAGTGGGGGAGAAATAACAAAACGGGAGGGTGGTAGGAGATGAGTCTAACTCCCAGGGAAAACGGGAGTGTTGGCAGGTGTGGTTACATGTTGTGGCTCGTCCAGGAGGGGAGTGAGGTTCAGAGGGGTGAGTGTAACGGAGGCCAGTTAGTGAAGGGCTATGCAGGTAAACCTCACTCCTCTGACCCCAAATGGCGTTCTAGCAACACATGCTATTCACCTTATTCTTTGCCGGCGAGCAGGCGCAGCCATTTAAATCTTTTTGGCTCGAGACTTCCGGTCTCACTCACTTCCATTCATTTTTAGACATTAAAAACTGCTCGTCACGCTGTTTGATGTTGCAAACTGATATTTTCTCATTATATTATTCTACTTAATCTGTATAGTAATGCAAACATTTGTTTGTAGAGCAAGTAGTTTGACCGTTTTCCGCCGTTTATTATTCCTAGTCATTTCTCCCATAGGCGACTGAATCGGATGATCTAAAACAATCACGAAAACAGGCGCACTTCCACATTTTAGAATAAGGTCAATAGGTTAATAGTCTTTAGCCTCCTTGTTAGAGCAACTGACTCCCATACAAAGAATCGCCAGTTGGATCCCAGCTCAGACTACATAATTAAATTGCCTTTTAAATTAAATGTGCATGTTGAATGTTTTACACATTTGATTTAGTTAAATTTGAGTGTCCATCTATCACCGTAATGTGACTGTGCTGCTGAACATGATGCAGTATCTATGAGTAATAGAGTTATCAGTATGTTTCTCATCAGTGGTGTGTGTTCTACTGCTGATGATGTCCTCATCTGATGTACAGGGCTCTACCGTGGGCTTTTTAAGCTGTCTCTTCTTTTGTGATGACAGAAACATCTTCATGACATCTCCGCAGTTTCTCAGTGACAGCACTGCAAAAAATGCTTTTCTTCCTTGGATTTGTTTGTCTTGTTTTTAGTCCGAATTTCACATTTCTTTTATCAAGCAGTATTTTCTGGACAAGCAAAACATATCGTCTTGTTTTCAGAAATAATTTGGCAAAATGAAGTGAGGCTTTCCTTAAAACAAGCTAAATAATCAGCCAGTGGGGTAAGTAGAATAATCTTAAATCAAAAGAAGAAATAAGATTATTTTTCTTACCCCACGGGCAGATTATTTTACTTGTTTCAAAGAAGAACTCACCTTAATTGTATCAGGTTAACTCGCTATATTCTCATATCGCGTGCAAAGCCAGGTTAAAAACGCGACGCGAGCTGCTTTGTTTATGGAGCTCCGTGGAGGAGGGTAGTGTGTGTGTGTGTGTGTGTGTGCGTGCGTGCGTGCGTGCGTGCTGTCGTGCGGAGGTGTGTGTGTGTGTGCGCGCGCGTTGTCGTCCGGAGGTGTGTGTGTGTGTTTGTGTGTGTGTGTGTGTGTGTGTGTGTGTGTGTGCGCGCGTTGTCGTCCGGAGGAGGGTTAAGTGTTTGTGAGTGTGTGTGTGCGCGCGGGCGCGCAAGGACGAGGGCAATATGTGTGTGTGTCTGTGAAAAGAGCAGAGTGAGACAAGCTAGAAGATCTCCTCGACAGTTTTTGGAGTTTTTGCTCAATAAAACAGTTAGTCGTCTGTATTTTCAAGTCCATCGTCTGTATTTACATTGACCCACTGGCAGCTAAACTCTACGCCTTACACTATCGCGCGTGTATGAACTGTGACTACTTTTATATTGCTGATTAGCTGCTGGGCATTTCACTCTGTCTCTCTGACTGAAGGCAGTCGACCAATCGCAACAGGATGTCATCGGTCCAATCAGCGCAGATTAGCTTCGCACTAAGGAGGGGTTTGGGAACAAATGAATCACTGGACGATTCATCCAGGAGTCGCTGGGATAATTAGGTAAAAATAAATGCAGATTATAAGACCATGAAAGTGTTTTTTTGACCCTGCATGCATATTAGACTGTTGTTGGAGAACCTTACAACCAAGATATGACCCTATTTCATGCATAATATGGGCTCTTTAAGTAATTTGGACTAAAAACAAGACAAAAACATCTATATAAAAAAAAAAAAATAAAAAAAAACTTTTTTTGCAGTGAGCCAGAAAGCTTTAGTCTGATGATCTGACAAAAATCTGCACATTTTTCCCCTCAAGGATCAGCTGAAGATGAATTATGACACATCATGCACTCAATAATGAATATAGCTTTGAAGACTGCTTTTGATTTTTGATTTTTTTTTTTGTATAATGACCCATGTGACTACTTGTTTCAGTCATTTTATGTTCTTCATGATGTTAGTATTTCACAGAAGATTACAAAATACATGCTTTAAAAAGTCTCAACTTCAGGATCTTTTCTTAAAACAAAAAGCTTAAGGATACCACTGATCCCTAATTAAATAAAAATGATGACATTGACTAAACACAAGCCCCCCCCCCATCCTATTTTTAACATGGGTACACAATATTCCTTTAAGTAAAAACAAAATACTACTAAAATATTATACTAACCTACACTACCTGACAATAGTCTTGTCACCGATCCAAGTTTTATGAACAACAAATGCTAAGTTGACTTTTAGTTGAACATTAAAACACAGGGCTAACATCAGCTTCCTCAAGTCAAACCGTTTATTAAATCAAGGTTTTCATTTTCTATTTATTCATCCAGCCATTATTAGTGACCGCAGAATCAGCATGTCGTCCTCTGGGTTGATAAAGGCTCACGCGTCTTTCACACACACACACACAAACACACACACAACCGAATAAACTCACCGTCCAAACCAAATAAAAAAGGGCATCCGAACATCAGTGTTGGAAAACAATTGGCACAAATGAACACTTCATCTTCCAGAAGAAAGCCAAACGAAAAATATACAATGACAGAGTTCATTTGCAGAAAACAGATCACTCAGTTTAAGCCATTTTCATAATCAAGTCCCAATCAATGCACAATAAAACAACATGACTTATGAAGAGGAATAAAAACTGAGTGATCTGTTTAGTGCAGATGAGCTCTTCAATCACAAATAATCAGCCAATTAAGGAAACTGTAGGGTTCTTTTAGATGGCGAGGGGCTCAGCACAATAAATACGCTGCCAGGTTTGTTTGTGTGTGATCACGTGAGGATGGTATCATCGATCTCTTCATTGGAGTCTGGAAGGCTGGAGATCTTCTTCAAGGATCTGCGGTAACATTCGGACAGCAGGTCATTACTGGCCGAGTCCAGGATGGCACTGATGCTCTGAAACACATTCACATATGGAAACATTACTTCAAACACTGCATGAGACTGAGGACTCTATTTTGACGGTCCATGCGCAAACTGCAAAGCGCAGGGTGCAAACGCTTTGAGGACGTGTCAGAATCCACTTTTGCTAATATAGGGACGGAAAAATCCGCTTTGTGCCGTGGCGCATGATCTAAAAGGGTTGAGCTTATTTTCTTAATGAGTTATAGGTGTGTTTTGAGAATAAACCAATCAGAGTCTCATCTCACATTCCCTTTATGCCCCTCGCTGCTGGAATCAGCTTCCAGAAATGATCAGATGTGCTCCAACATTAGGCACATTCACATCAAGACTGAAAACACACCTGTTCAGCTGTGCCTTTACTGAATGAGCACTGTGCTGCGTCCGACAGATTGCACTATCATGTTTTTCTCTTCTTCTTCATTCTTTTATATTACATTTTACCCGTTTTTTATTATGTTTTTATTTTTATTTTACTTGTCTCTTTTATTCTTGTTTATGTAAAGCACTTTGAATTGCCACTGTGTATGAAATGTGTTATATAAATAATCTTGCCTTGCCTTGCCTTTCCTTAAGAGCCAGTTGGGTCGTGCCTTAAGCGCATTTGCTATTTACATGACGACTTTGTAAGTGGAAAAACTGAGCATTTCACTAGCAAACAAACAGTTAAACAGAGCATCGACAGCGTGAGAATGAGAGATTAGGCCTCTCATTATCTACTTTCCCTTTCGCTCTCGTGGATAGGGAAACCTACAATTAGTCTATAAATAATTAATTTAGTTTGTTAAGCGTAAAGATTTGTTTCAAACTATTTCTAAATTCAGTTTTAATTTCCAGCAAACGAATAAATGAACAATAATAATGAAGTGTGCTCAAAAACCTGAGTTATATCCTAAAACACATGCTGTGCCCCATATGGTCTAAAACCTGACAGGTGGGCAAATCTAAGCTTGTTTTTAATAAAACAAATATAAATATGGATATAATAAATAATACTGCTAATAATAATAACATTATACAAAAGCTAATTGTTATGAATAAACTGAAAAAGCCTCCCCAAGATGAAGAATAGCAAATGCTTTGGTAACATATCAGTAGTCCCGCAGATTTTTAGCCCATCATTAATTCTGTTTATTTATTTGTGTAAATGTGAGTAAATCTATATTTATTCAGTTTCTAATTTATTTACAGTAATATTATTGACCAATATGAAAATCTTCATATGATTTATTTAAAAGACAGTTTGTACAGTAAGGTTTTCTGTCTTTTAGTAGATATATTATATGAGACTTGCTTTGTTTACCAAATAAAGTGGATCTAATTGGATTTGCATAGTAAACATTAAGTTAAAAAGGGTGTTACTTTTTATTTCATATATTAAGTTTTTAGTTATGATACTCCCAAAATAATTCTGCAGAAATCTGCAGATTTTTAACACAATTCTGTGCAGAAATAGCAGAAAATGTCCGCATACATATGGCGGAGCCTACATATCAGTGTCTGTAAGGGGCTGTATGTGTTCATATACGTTACATTTACTTATTTCATATAATAACAGACGTTACAGTAGGCTATTTCACACTGTCATTGATCTGCAGTTATAATCAAATCATGTTCATAGAAAAGTTAGTAATAAACATGTATACACAAGTATTTATGTGTATAAAGCGTCTGTTATATGAGAAGTGCTTTTCATATGATCTGTGAACGACCCGTACGGCTTTACTTTGACATTTCCTCGAGCGAACATGACATCGACAGAAACTTTCTGTTGTACACCAGGCCAACCAAAGGAAAACCATTGGTGGTAGCAGTGGAAACACAAGCCTGATAAAGGTGTCCCGTACCGACCCATACTGCACCACTCAGTGGCAACGGGCCATTAAATACACAATTCAGATAAACATTAGGTGGTGCATTTCTGACGACGCGAGACCAGAGTTGTTTGATGTTCAGCCTTTGCCGCGTGTAGCATTAAAGTTGAAGAGCTGAGTGAGTACCTGCATGTTGTGTTCTCCGCGCCGCAGTCTCAGCAGGCTGACGAGTGTGTGTTCGCTCTGCGCTCGGACGCTGGTGTTCTTGTCTTTGGTGTTGTCCAGCAGTGCTTTGATGAGCGGTTTGACCAGACTGGGCTCCAGAATGGGGGTCTCGTCCTCCTTCCAGACCCACCACAACACCCGCTCTGCCACCAGACGAATGTCACTCGACTGGTTTTGGAGACACTGGAGCAGGACAGAAAGCACTTTAACAAACACTTCTGATGTCTGTTCTGTTGGTTTACAGACGCTCAAAGTACATATTAGGGCTGCACAATATTGGAAAAATTAGACATTGTGATATATTTTGTTTAGCTGTGATATACACTCACCGGCCACTTTATTAGGTACACCTATCCAACAACTCGTTAACACAAAATTCTAATCGGCCAATCACATTGCAGCAGCTCAATGCATTTATGCCTGTAGACAGCGGTCAAGACTATCTGCTGCAGTTCAAGCCGAGCATCAGAATGGGGAAGAAAGGGGATTTAAGTGACTTTGAATGTGGCATGGTTGTTGGTGTCAGACGGGCTGGTCTGAGTATTTCAGAGACTGCTGATCTACTGGGATTTTCATGCACAATTATCTCTAGGGTTTACAGAGAATGGTCAGAAAAGAGGAAATATCCAGTGAGCGGCAGTTCTGTGGGAGCAAATGCCTTGTTGATGCCAGAGGTCAGTGGAGAATGGCCAGACTTTTTTTCAGCTGATAGAAAGGCAACAGTAACTCAAATAACCAAATCAAATCTCTGAACACACAACACGTCCAACCTTGAGGTGGATGGGCTACAGCAGCAGAAGACCACACTGGGTGCCACTCCTGTCAGTTAAGAACAGGAAACTGAGGCTACAATTCACACAGGCTCACCAAAACTGGACAATAGAAGATTGGAGAAACGTTGCCTGCTCTGATGAGTCTCCATTTCTGCTGCCACATTTGGATGATAAGGTCAGAATTTGGCATCAACAACATGAACGTATGGATACGTCCTGCCTTGTATCAACGTTTTAGGCTGGTGGTGGTGGTGTAATGGTGTGGAGGATATTTTCATGCACACTTTGGGTCCATTAGTTCAATTGAGCATCGTGTCAACGCCACAGCCTAACTGAGTATTGCTGCTGACCATGTCCATACTTTTATGCCCACAATGTACCCATCTTCTGGTGACTACTTCCAACAGGATAACACGTGAATCATCTCAGACTGGTTTCTTGAACATGACAATGAGTTCACTGAACTCAAATGGCCTCTACAGTCACCAGAACTCAATCCAATAGAGCACCTTTGGGATGTGGTGGAACAGGAGATTCACATCAAGGATGTGCAGCCAACAAATCTGCAGCAACTGCATGATGCTATCATGTCAATATGGACCAAAATATTTGTGGAATATTTCCAGTACCTTGTTAAATCTCTGCCATGAAGGATTAAGACTGTTCTGAATTTCTGAAGGCAAAAGAGGGTTCAACCTGGTACTAGTAAGATGTCCCTAATAAAGTGGCCGGTGAGTGTATATTGCAATATGAATATAGTTTCACCAGATGATTTAGATTGCTCTATTTTAGAAAATGTTATTAATTTAGATCGACTGGGATGATCAAGTATTTTTCTATGCAGTGCGCATCTGCATAAATTCTAATAAATTACAAGCATTCAGAGCAAAAATAAAAGTGAAATAAACAGCTCTTTATGGTTTTCTGGGGAGTCTAACCATATTCAAGTACAAAAATTGAACAATCAAATGTAAAATAACATGGTCGTCATAGCATAAATAATTAAAAAAGATTTAATGACATCTCTTGCTTTTAAGTTTTAATAAATAATCTAAGCCTGCAACGTGACTATTGCCGACATATATACATAAAGACAAAAGAACAGTAAGACATTTAAATAAGTGGAAAATAATAAAAAAAAAACACACGCACAATAGTTATTATATATATTTTTAAATTAAGAATTTGCTTTAAAACACACTAGAACTCAATAAGGTCACATTCCTCACATAAGGTAAAACTTTGCATTTTACATTAAAAACAGCAAAACCTCACAGTAAGATTTTATTTGTTTACATAACCTAATTTCATTAGTTAACATGAAACAAAATGATGAATAATTCTATATACATAATTCATCTTCATTTTAACATTTACAGATCAAAATCTGAACATGGTGTTAAAATGAACTTTAATAATGGATTTTTTTAAAATGTAGTCAGATAAGCTTTACTTTCTAATGTGTTTAATAGGGGTGTGAACCTACACTGGTCTCACAGTTCGGTTACGATTATCATGCCATCGATTCGGTTCAATTCGATATCTCGGTGCAATTGGCGATGCTTTCTATACATAATTAGATTTGTTCTTCACAACACAAATTTTTTTTTATTAATATCTATCAATATTTTAATATTTATATACCATTTATAATACAATTTTGTTCTTTAATACTAGCAAATATGTAAACTGTAGCTTTAATTTGACCTGCTCAAAGAAAACACTCTTTCTGAATGTATTAAACAAAACTCCAACAGATGCACAGAAGACAGCATGAGCTTTTAAAGGAAATAAACTCATGTAAATATGATCCCGTTTGCTTTTTGAGCGCCGTCAAAGGAGCTCTTACACCCCTATGATTGGTCAATGTCTTCACCCGCTCAACAGAAAGGGCTGCGCTTTGCTTTAGAAATAAAAGCGCTGTTCACTGATGGCGGTAAGAACAGCTGCGGATACAGTCTGTATGCGCATAATTAGGGCTGCTCGATTATGGGAAAAATCATAATCACGATTATTTTGGTCATAATTATAATCACGATTATTCAAAACGGTTATCAGTTGAAGTCAAAATTATTCGCCCTTCGGTGAATTTATTTATATTTATAAATGATTCCCAAATGATGTTTAACAGAGATTTTTTTTTACAGTATTTCCTATATTTTTTTCTTCTGGAGAATGGCTTATTTGTTTTATTTCAGCTAGAATAAAAGCAGGTTTGAATATTTTGAAACCTATTTTAATAGCTCGATATTATTAGCCCCTTTAAGCAATATATATGTTTGATTGTCTGCAGAAGAAACTACTGTTATGCAATGACTTGTCTATTTACCCTAATTAACCCTTTGAATGTCACTTTAAGCTGAATGTCTTGAAAAACATCTAGTAAAATATAATATACTGTCATCATAGCAAAGATAAAAGAAATCAGTTATTAGAAATGAGTTATTAAATCTGTTATGTTTAAACTGTGCTTTAAGCATCTTCACTGTATTTTTGATTTTATTATTGATTAATGATAAAAACAGTCGGCAGCAGCAGGAATATCGCACGCTGTCACTTTAAGAATAGTGCGGCTCTGATATGGTTTCTCTTTCTCGTGTCTTTTGATTCACAACTTGTTAGTTTATTACACAAATGAGGATTAATATGAATAATCACTAAACACTGCGCTCTGACACAAGTGTGCATGTATTTGACCATTAAAGCGCTCACATTAAGATCGCGTTAGATGTGTGTGTGCTCTGCTGTCCGAGGCACAACCACACAAACACACACGCTACCTGTCAGAGGCTAAGCACGGCGTGCGCACACACACAACAGCACGTGCTCTTGTGCGCTTTTAAAAATATGAATGATGCGCATCCCGTGCTGCAAAAGTTACAGTACAGCTCATGCTTTTAGTCTTTTTCACGTGGAACTGAGCTTTGCAGAGGCAAAGAGTCACACGTGTACAACTGGAAAGGGGGCGGTATGTGATGGAATAATCGTTTATCTCGATTAATGCTTTTTCATAATCGTTAAAAGCCAAAATCGAAATCGGATTTTCGATTAATTGCACAGCCCTACGCAGAATACACAGTTATCACAGGTAATTCGTAATAGACACAGTGGGGAGAACTCGCACCTCAGGCACGCTCGGGTCTAGATACGCAAGTATCGATTTAATAGCCAAGAGAAAAGGAAAAGTTTCCTCACAAACACGCCAACGGGTCAATTGTCCAAAGTAAGAGAGAGAGAGGTAAAGATGGAGTTTTGCAGCATTTCTCCGTAGTAGTGAAATAGCGGCTTGTGTGCTGTCAGTGAAACACTTTCCAGCAAACTCACAAGCAGTTGAACTGTCTATAATTATCTGCCTTTGAAGTAGTAGTTGCGTTTTGTTTACTCGCCTTCGCCTACATCAACATAGTATTCTACTGCAATGTCGCGCATAAGAGATAAATGCCGTCAGTACATAATAACCGGTTGTGATCTATTACTTAAGCAATATTGCATTGTCCCCGTCTGCATTGCGGTGCACTGAAGAAACAATTAATTTTGACACCCCTAGTGTTTAAGCACATTTTCAGACAATATAAAAACACTGCCAATATTGTTAATTGTGTTAATGGCGGACTGACCTTGATGAACTGTGTGATGATGCGGGGCGATACACTCTCTGAGCCTCCAGTGCGGAGCTGGTGTCTCATCAGGAAACCCATGGCTCTGATTCCACTGCAGGCGATGGGGATCTATAGAAAACACACACACACACACACACACATCCATCACACTTCAACATCTGTGCTGATTACAGGTCTTTTCATGGATGAGGTTCTCATATTTATCACTAAATGTTAGGCAAATCAGTGTCATGCCATTTTAAACCATGTGACACTGAATACCGGATTAATGATGCTGAAAACTCAGCATTTTATCACAGAAATGAATTGCCTCTTTAAATATATTCAAATAGAAATGTTATGTTAAATTTAAATATATTATCATTATTATTATTATTATTATTATTATTGTACTAATAAGAAAAAATATTAGATTTTTTTAATCAAATAATTGTGACTTTGGCAGAGCAGATAAGATTTCCCTGAAAAACATTTTTAAAATTATGTTTCTAAACTTGTAACTGGTAGTGTAAAAAATATCTTATAATGAATCAATCAGAGGATTCAGCAACGTTTCAGCAGTAAATAACTTCTTGAAAGTGAAAAGTTTTGACTGTTTTCCGATCTTTTGGGCCCAGAACCATTAAACATGGGCTTTTCCCTAAGGTTATTATAGATTTGCATATTTAAATGAGCTATTATTTTAAAAATGTGCTATAGCTTCGAGTTTTACTATGTTTTATTAGTGGTTTTGTAGGTTTTAGTTTGGTTTTAGTCAGGTGGTATAGATTTTTACTTGCCCTTAAAGGGTCACGAAACACCAAAACACATTTTTTGAGCTGTTGACAGTCGTATATGTGTCCCACACTGCTAAAAACACTATTAGGACACCTATATTTCACTAAAAAGTGTAAATTGGTTGTTTTTGCGTTATTTCAAGCAAATTCGTACTTCCGGTTTGAAACAAATTTTTGAAGCTGCGTCACGGTCATGAGATAATAGCGTGTATTCCAGCGTGCAGACTGGACGTCTGTGCCAGAGTGTGTCTTATTACGTCTTACAGTGTGATGCATTATTGCATGAGTAAGGCTTGGTTCAAACCAATCAGCTCGCTCTATTGTGCAACTTCATTAATATTCATTAGTCACAGTGTTTAGACGACAGAGACGCCACGTTGTGTTGGCAAAACAAGCGTGAAGTGTTGCTTTTATAGTTTGCTGCCGTTAAGTTTTGTTTTCATTTTCTCTCTGTGAGAGCTCATCTGGATCACGTGTGGATTACAGTGTACGCAACGCTCGGCAACAATAACTTACGTGTCTAAGGAGGATTATTGTTTACCTGAGAGCTGTTCTCATCTGCAAACGCTGAGATACGGATTCGCTTGTAGTCTTCTCTTCATAAAGACGCGGCTCTAGTTGCTGGTGATTGTCCTGTCTCTACAGATTTGGTAAGTGAGCGACCAGTGCTCTTTGTTTATTCAGTTTGTTCGTATCGAACTAAGTTAACTATTGCACCGAGTGTAAACATGTTAGCACTACAACCAAACTTTAACCTCGTGTAGGATTTTCACCGCATTTTGTGACCGGAATAACACACGCGGCTTTCTGACGCTACCTGCCGTGTGCATCTAAGTTTCTGGGAAATGCTGAGTTTTTTTTCTCTCATTCGCCGTGCGGTATCAAACATTGCATGAAAAATACACGCTTAGAGCAGATCCTAAAATCAAATATCTCGTTGTCGCGAGGGACATGAATGAATTCCCTGAATGAAAGAGCCAAACTGCAGTAAAGGTCCACCATTTAATAATTTGGCAAAGAATTCGACTACTGATGTCCATGCAAACACAGTCACTTTGTCCCCTGTGTGTGTGTGTATTTTGACTCTGAAACTCAGCGCGTCCAAACAGACACTCCCACACCATCCTTCTTTAGTTCCTCCGACACTCCCCGCTAAACAGAGCTGGACACGGCCACTTCTTTTCTGACTTTTTCCAAAGTAGAGGTGTGAAAACACCCTGCTGAAACGAGGGGGTTTCATGGCCCTTTAATGTGTCAAACATAATTGTATACATACATTTTTTATTAAGCATAACTTTTTTTTAAATACAGTTGACAATTAAAAAATACAATTGACGTAACTAAACTTAAAAAAAAAAAAAAAAAAGCAAAAATGTGCACTTTAATTTTGACAACCAGAGACAACGTCACCAAATATAAATCAGAGAGGTCAGACTTTCTCTTACAGAGCCTCATTTCAGTTGTCAAGTTTTGTAAAAATCTATTAAATCAATTGATCTATTAAAAAACAGGCCTACAATTATGCATTATAGGCTTAAATTATAGATATAAATACCAGGAGAACTGGTGTTGTGCCAAGAAACGCACCCCTGCCGTAAAATGCAACTCCTCTAAAATGTGCATATATTAACTTAAATTGATATAGCTACGACAACTAATGACAGTGACTGATGGGAGTTCAATGAATGGAACCCTTACCTTACAGAAGATATATATTTAAAAATATAAATAGATTTAATTTAAATACAACACTGATTAGATTAAGTTAAAAACTACAACAATTTTATGTTTTTCGTTTGTTTAAAACCAACAAAAACGCCTAATTTTAGAAACAGGCTCATAACAACCGTCTGTACTACAGTCGATATTTGTATTATTCGTTTTTCGTAAGCCTAGTTTTAAAATGCTTTTCACTTCTTGTTTCTCCTTAATCCATCAAAATAACAATCATATTGGCCTACGTTTTCATCAATTATGGCCCTTTTTTTTAAATGTAGACTGAGAATGCTAATGAAAGTCTATGAAGGAGATGCGTGCATTTTACCACAGGGGTGCATTTCTCGGCACAACACGACTGCAGTCAGATCATGAAGCAGATTAATGTTGATCTTTCCTGAGGTGTCAGTGCAGAAATGAACAAAACAATAGGCCTTATACAACATATCATAGGAATAAAATATGATAAAATGATCAGATGGTAATTTCTGTCAATTTTCCAAACAGATTAACAGCTCTCGGTAATATTTCAGCATGCTTTCACTTTCATTTTCGACATGAAACACACATTTACTGGTAGGAATGACATCCCGCACAACTCTTGATAATTCTCTCTTCATATAGCTGTATATATGGCTATAATACACTGTGATATTCACCTTATTCTCTGCGTATGAGCGGGCGCAGCCATTTGAATCATTTTGGCTTGAGCCTTCCGGTCTCATTCCCTTACATTCATGTTTAGACATTAAAAACCGCTCGTTTTGCTGCTTGATGTTGCAAACTGATATTTTCCTATTATATTATTCAGCTTTGTCTGTGTAGTCATTCAAACACTTGTTTGTAGAGCAGTAGTCTGGTTTCTGCCTTTTATTATTATTTTATTATTATCCACAAAAATGAGCGCACTTCCTCATTGAAGAATAAGGTCAATAGCCTGGTTCATTAGTTCGTTGGATTGTTTTGCTTTCTCACTACAATCGATCCGCTCCAGAGTTTCAATTGAGTCGAGACCACCTCATTTAGGCAATCTCAGACCGATTGATTGGGTGCAGATCCGAGCGCCATTGCTGGATTCACATATGCCAAACGAACCACACTAACTGGGCAAAACGAGACAAGTTCCAAAACAAACGATTAGGAGTGAAAGTACCCAAAGACTGTATTTGCACGCAATTGACAGACAGTCGCGGGCTCGTGGCCAAATTTAAATTTAGTGACAATGCAGCACTGGCCCGATCGGGCCAGTAAACATCCTGTCTAGTGTCCCGAGCGTCCCGCACGCTGGGCCCAGGCTATCAGGCAGTCCTTATTGTCGAGCCCTGTATATTTAGTTTTAGTAATTCTAGTTTAGTAGAACGTGTCCAGTTTCAACCAGAGCAAAGATTAGCATTTGCACAGAATGCTATGAATTTTTTTTACCTAAATGAACATTACATTATAGGTCTGCATAAATTTCCGAATAAATCACGGGAGCGGTCGGTAACGGGTTTAATTTTGGACGGGAGTGGGCGGTTCAACAATATCGCTCCCGGCTCCTGAGCGAGCGAACACGCGTATGTATGTGTGTGAAAGAGACAGCTTGATGCTGCATTTTACTTGTTTGTTGCCATTTATGTGTGTGTTTGATTTAGAGAGAGAGCTTTGTGCTGTCTCTCTGTGTGTGTGTGTGTTTGTGTGTGTGTGTTTATTCAGACATACAGGCTGTCTGTACTCTGTATAGCTGGGTGGTTTTCAGTTTTGTTCTACCCCCGTCCGTCAGCGGGAACGAGCGCAGCGGGTAGAAAACGGGGCGGGTCGAGAAGCGGGACAACAAATGCTGAATATAAGCGGGAGTGGTCGGGTTTGAGCTAAAACCTGGCGGGTGCGGGCGGGAGCGGGATTCAAAATTTAGTCCCACGTAGATTTCTACATTACATTACCGTTAATTAAAAAACTTACAGTAATAAAAATAAAAGAACTGTTTAAACAAACACTGAATCCAAAACCACACAAATGCAACATATAAACATTATGAATAAAAACATCTTCCTATTAAAGATCATACTGAATATGTAGTTAAACTACCTCTTTAACAACAAAGCTGAAACTATAGAACACGTTAGTTTTAGAAACGTTTTTGTATATAATCATAGCTTGACCGATGTGTTTGGCGCCATCTACAGGCGTTTCTCTAAACAGCCGCAGCTCATATATTCCATCACAGAATGACTGCTTATGAATTCTGCAAACAATTAATTTTAGCGAATTATTTTATTTCAGCTAGTTATTTAGTGACAGTTGTTAATTTCATTGTTTAATTTCTAATTTTTTTATTTATTAAGTTTTTTAGATTTAGGAGTCTTGGTTTATTAAAATAAGCTTGTGATTCTCTTACTCTGTCAGCGGTGGCGCTGGACAAGACGGCCTCCAGCACAGAGGAGTTGTACTCATCCACACACAGCTGAGCAGGAGCAGACTTCACGGCGATAGACAGAGCCAAACTACGCCCATGACGAACCATCCAGTCCACGCCAGACACATCCGCTGCACACAAACATATATATAACACAACGTGATCTGGATCAGTCAACAGTAGGTGTGGGATTAAAATAAAATGTATTCATAGTGAATCTTCCTCTAGCAATTTTGAATTGATTCTAAAAAGTTCAGAACAGATTCTGTGAACAGGCTGGAAACTGAAGCGCTGAACGCCGTATGCATGTATGCAACATATGTATTGAAAAGATTTGCATAGGTTAAAACTAGTCTAGGTGAAGAATCATTTTGGGAATCGAAACATGACTCCCAGAATAGGAATGAGATTATATCAATCCCACTGCCAAATATTCAACATCAGAGTGTTTCTCTTACCGAGGATGTGCTGCTGTAAGACACTCTTCAGCTCCTCTTCTGATAGAAAGGCACAGAGTTCACCAATACAGCCCGCAGAGGCCATTCTTGTGGCATCCTACACATATGCGCACACACACAGGTAAGGATACAGACACTCAGCAACCACATCCTGTGCTAGATACTGTTACAAAGACGAAAAACACACATGCATTCACACTCTCAAGTCTAAGAGTAAAGATAATGATCAACTTTGTCTGATGAATGTCAGAAAAAACATTTAAGATATTCTAAAATAAACTTTACAATAACATTCAATCTGGTAAATAAATGTCTTTGAATATTGATAATCATCTATTCCATATCATACAGCCATGATCATATCGTACAATAAACAATAGTATTTTATTATGATCATCAACAATAAATGCATTAAAGCACATGATGCTTTTTTCACACCGTTTTGTATGTAGCTGTACCTCATCATGTCCCAGCATGCTCAGCAGTGTGGTGGTGATGTTCTTCCTGATGGCGGGGTCCACCTTGGCTCCTGCTCCCTGAATGACAAATCGCAGGGCCTGCAACATCGTCTCCCTACAGCGGCAACAACAACAACAACACAAAATATGTCTCATTCATGTCTCATTTCCAAAAGTAAACACTCTGGGTTGTGCATCGTTTACCAAAAATTACTTTATTCTGCCAACAGTATTGACTTACTGAGTGTGTTTTTTTGCTTTTTTAAGCCTGACAGTGTAGAAAGTTGACATTTAAGCCACCAGTAGGTCTGCAGTAAGTGACTGTCTAAATGACAGATTCATTCAAATGATTCACTCAAATAGCTGATACATTTATACAAGTGACTGGGCTTTAGCTAATTAAGAGCATGTGTGTAAAAAAAAGGGCAGAGTCATTAACACAAATCAAGAGCAATATTCAAAGGCTAAGCATAACCAGAAAGCACAGGATCTTACGGATAACCTTGCACTTTTAGCGAAATTAGATGCAGTCTAAAGTGCTGTCTGCTAAAAAAAAAACTAGCCTAGTACAATGTCTTTTGTTGAAAAACTAGCCTAGAGCACCATCTACTGTTAAAACTAGCTAATCTAGAACGCCATCTGCTGTTAAAAACTAATCTAGTGCACCTTCTGCTGTCAAAAACTAGTCTAGAGCGCCATCTGCTGTTTAAAACTAGCCTAGAGCGCCATCTGCTGTTAAAAACTAGCCTAGAGCGCTATCTGCTGTTAAGTAGCCTAGAGCAACAGTCTGCTGTAAAAAGCTAACCTAGAGCAACATCTACAGTTAAAAACTAGCCTATAGCGCCATCTACAGTTAAAACTAGCCTAGTGCAATGTCTATTGTTAATAATAAGCCAAAAGCGCCATCTCCTGTTAAAAACTAGCCTAGAGCAACGCCTCTTGTTGAAAACTAGCTTAGAGCCTCATCTACTGTTAAAAAATAACCTACAGCGCCACCGCCTGTTAAAACTAGCCTAGAGCATTGTCTGCTGTTAAACAAAAGCCTAGAGCGCCATCTGCTGTTAAAACCTAGCCTAGAGTGCCATCTGCATTTAAAATCTAGCCTAGAGCGCCATCTGCTGTTAAAATATAGCCTAAAGTGCCATCTGCTGTAAAAAATAATCCAGAGCGCCACCTTCTGTTCAAGCTAGCTAATCTAGAGCGCCATCTTTTGTTAATAATAGCTAGTCTAGAGCGTCATCTGCTATTAAAACTATGTAGTCTTGAGCGTCATCTGCTGTTAAAAACAAATCTAGAGCGCCATCTACTGTTAAAACTAGCTAGTCTAGAGCACCATCTGCTGTTAAACTAGCTTGTCTAGAGCGCCGTCTGCTGTTAAAAACTAGCATAGAGCACCATCTGCTGTTAAAAACGAATCTAAAGCACCATCTGCTGTTAAAAACTAGTCTAGAGCGTCATCTGATGTTAAAAACTAGTCTAGAGCATCATCTGCTGTAAAAAACCTAGCCTAGAGCGTCCCCTACTGTTAATAACTAAGCTCAAAATTGATTCCAGCACATTCTGCAATTGTAAGAAATAATCCATAAACCACAATGCATCTCTGCAGCTCTAACAAGCAATATTCCAGTCATAAGTGTACCTGACTCCAGAGTCCTCAGCGTTGCGTATGGCTGCCAGCTGCTCAGTGAACAGTGGATCTACTTTGGTGTGGATGGAAACGAGCTGCCCCAGAGCCTCCGCCGCCCGCAGCCTCACAGCCCGACTGGAGTCCTGCAACGCCTTTAGGAAGGTGGTCTGCAGCTGCGGCAGGAAGGGCTTCAGAGCGATGCCCACCTAGAGAAAACAAAGCATTGCGAATGTAAATAAAGAGTTTTTTAATGTTAATCAATTAAATTTTCAAGCCAATAATCATTTTATTATTTTCTGTTTTGAAAATGATTAAGCTCTTAAAGGGACTGTTTAACTATTTGCGTCTTGCGTTTAATCGATGATGCCCCCAGCAACTAGTTGACGTCAACTTGACTTTAATAACATAAAAGTCGACATAAAAAAATGTAAAGTCGTTCAGCTCCTAATGTGAACAAAAGATGTGAATGGACACTGACTTTGGCCAGCAGTAGTGTAAGGGTCTCCAGAAGAGCAGTTTTGACGTTCCATGCGAATCGGTCTCCCAGGATTCGGATGAGCGGTCCAGTGATGTTGACCACTGACGGCCGCAGAGCCTCCGCTGAGGTCAGTTTAATGACTCCACCTAAAGCTCGAGCCGCTTCCTCTTTCTGCTCTGGACTTCCTGTCAGCACACCTTCCCTCAGCACAGGGAGAATGCAGGTCACTCCCTGAGGACAAACACAGTATAAATAAATACAAAATAATAAACTAAATTAATAGCACCATACTATGTACTTTCAATATAAATATTAATAAAAAGTGAAGGGTTAAGGTTCCAAAAAAGTGAGATGAAAAACTTTTGCAATAATTTAAAATAAAATTAGACGTTTAATACCATAGATTTATTTAAAGTAATTAACAAAAATACTAAATGTTACTCTCAAATAACAAATAGCAGGAAAAACAGCATAGTGGTCTGTTTATTTCAGTGAGTGGCATCCAGTTATTAAAATATGCACAATTATATACAATATAATATACAATAAATGTATTGTCAAAAAAAAGCAAAAAAAAAAAAAGAAAATCATAGTTGATTGAGACCACACACACATGATCCTTTTGAATACTGGAGACTTTGACTTGTAACAGGTTAACTGGCTATTTTTCTCACAAATACTAGCTGTGTGTCATGACCTCTGACCTCTGCTCTTCATTTGTCTCTCTGAGTGATTCTTACCTTCTTGGGCAGGCAGAAGCCAGGTAAGTGTTGACCTTTGACCTCAGCAGCAGCAGAGCGGATGTCCCTGTGCAGGTCATCAATCAGAGAGAGCTGACTGCCCGCATCCAGTTTCTGCACACACACATACACAGACTTATGATCTTAAATCTGAAAATTTCAGCTAATAAAATGTCATTGTCATACTTCAAGTAATCAAGCTCATCAAGGCTGCACAGATTTAATAAAAATACAGTAAAAGCAGCACTATTGTGAAACATCACTGCTTTAAATGTTTTCTATGTAGATGTGTGTCAAATGAAATGTATTCGTTTTCAGAATCAAACAATCTTTCAGAAATCACTATAATGAGCCAATTTGATGATCAAGAACTATTTCTGATTAACATTAATGCTAAAAACAGAAACCTATATTGTATTTTATTACATTATAAATGTCTGTACAGTCACTTTCGACCAATTTAATGCATCCTTGATGAATATCATTTTGTTTCACAAACACTTCTCCCAGTACACAAACTTTTAAATAGTAGAGTACATGCAATAGATCTTTTTCTTGGAACGCAAAATTACCCATTATGCTTTGCGTGTATGCGCAAGGAAAATGCGAAGAACTTCCGGTCGGCAGCTGATGCGTGTAAACATTCACATTTGGACAGCTTTGAAACGATAGTTTTAATCTATTTTACCTGCTTTTATCCTCTTTGAACTAATACTGTTGTCCATCAGCAGCATCTCCTGGACTGATCATTTAAAGAAATGCGATCTAATAGGATGGAAAACAGCTGCTGTGAGGCGTTTTCCCCTCGTTGTCAGACGGCATCTTCTGCAGTTTAAATGAAGCCTCTTCATCGCTAAAGTCAACATTTTCTCTTTATTTCAAATACATAACCAGCCCAAACAAATGTAATTCACTAAAATGTTTGACACACACACATAGCCTGTAATGTGCCACTGACACACTGATTTAATAACTGTGACAAAGTAAAAATATAGGCTTGTTTTATTTCGAAATAACAGAAAAACACATACCATGGTAAAAACAACACACGAAATAAAACACAAACGGCTCGCGATTAGAATGAACAGCAAATCAGCCAGCTGAGGATCAATAACAGAATTTTATTGGTCATTTTTGTAAATTGCACAACTTTCATACCTGTTAAGTTTCATGCCAGTACTCTGGTTTGCTCTCTCTCTCTCTCTGTCTGTGTGTGTGTGTGAGTGTGTGTGTTAAAGAGCTGCTGAGCTAACAGCTGACAGGCTGTCAGCACAAACACACTGTATTTCTGACGGCAGACATGTGAACTAGGAGAACGTTTTTCTCGTATTTCTGACGCGCTTGTACCACGTTACAAATTATAATGGCTTTAACAGACACATTTCTAAGTTGTGTGTCACAAAAACACTCTGGTATCCATTAAAAACGTTATTGATACCCATTTTTGGAGCGCAAATTACCAGTTGTACACGCTGTACACGGAAGTTTTTAGCATTCTATCGGGAGACGCTGGTCGCTATGGCGCCCTCTCAGTGGGCGCCGTCTTTCAGATGAGAAATTAAATCGGCTCTTATACCCATGGCCTCCCAATCATCCCTATCCACTGAATTGGCTCTATCACTTTCTCTCCACTCAATCAATAGCTGGTGTGTGGTGAGCGCACTGGCGCTGTTGTCCTGTGGCTGCCGTCGCATCATTCAAGTGGATGCTGCACACTGGTGGTGGTGTGGAGAGACCCCCCTCATGATTGTGAAGCGCTTGGGTGTATGGCCACAGTGGCGCCTGCAGCCGTACGGCTGTATGCACTGTGCATACCTACCACGAGAGGGCGGGAATTAATGGCGCTTTTTATTCATTTATTTATTTGTGACATCATTTAAATTGATTATTAAACAGAATACACTACAGCTGCCTGCATTTCCACTATCGTGCCAAATCGTTCTGAGAACACTCGGGTATGGATACGGTTGTTTCTCCACTGAGGACTCCGGAAGAGAACTTAACCAACAGCTACATGCACTGCTGAAAGACTTTTTTTTCTGCTGTGCAACGAATAAAGACACGCTTAACATTACTGATGTTCACAATCCTACAGCTACATACTATATCCATGAAACACGAACTTGCAGACGCTTTAAACAATGAGGAAATAACTGCACTTCAGTCAAGCCAGACGTCCTGTTAAGTGATTTAATGCCGGCTTTACCACCCGAAGGACGGTTACGGCGTGTTGAGATGTCGGCTGTCACCGGAGAAAGTCTAATCTTTCATTACTTTATTGGGGTTGTGTTTGAAAGCTTTAGTGGCACTGTAGCTGTCCAAGGTACTGTCGTATGAGTTAAATTATATATGCACCAATAAACAGGTCAAATTAATGAATAAATAAAATAAAAATGGATTCTTAAATGTCGGTATAGTTTTTACTCAAAAAATAATAATAAAATGTTTTATAAAAATAAAATGAGCAATTTTCACAATTTTTTATGATTCAGTCAAATATGATTTGGACATTTATGGGGGCATGTAACATGTTTCTTTACCTTTTTTTTTCTTTTTTTGTTCTCAGTGATCTTTAATATATACTGGGTAGATACGCAAAATATTTTCTAAAATGTCAAGCAGGATTTTGTCTATAGCTTTAATTATGAAGACAATTATATTATTAAATCTAACAAAAATAAAATAATAAAAATGCAAAGATAAAAAGAGCAGAATTCTGCCAAATTATAAAGAATATTCGTTTTTATTTTACTTGATGCATTCGTTATTTAATGTTTGCATACTGAAATAACAGATATCGGAAGGGGGCGGGGCCGTGCTGGATTTGTGCATACATTGGAACGAAATCCTGCAGGCGCCCCTGTATGGCCATACACAATAAATGCGCTATATAAATACACATTACATTACTTTTTGCAGTTGAGTCTGTTTTAGTTCGGATCATATTCTTACCACAAACTAACTGCTCCAGGGTTCGTTAGAAAGCGTACCGAAACCACCTCTTCAAGGAGGTCTCGGTCCGCTTTTGGTGCACACATAAGTGCCATTGCTGCATTCACACCTGCCCAAACGAATCGCACCAAGAGGAAAAACGCACTCTAGTGCGATTCAACCAAACTAAATAAGGCAGGTGTAAAAGAACCCTTAGCTAATATTCAGAGAATATCTACAATAACTGATGACATGTGATAATAATTTCAGGACAATCTGGCTGTTTTTGTACCTTTGTAATGGAGTTGATGGTGTCCCAGCTCTGGCTCAGCACCTCAGTGTTGGGGTCATTCATGAGACGCATGAGTCCTGACAGCAGTGTGCGTGTGTGAGCGCTGTAGTCCAGCCGTGTGCGGGAGAAATAGCCGTTGAGGATGGTGATTGAGGCCTGTCTGAGCCCAGCGTCCGCTCCTCGCGTCGCCTCCAGCAGATCTTCAATGATGATCCTCTGACCCACTTCATCCTCCACTGACAGAATCACCGTCTGACAGTTGCTCAGTTCCTGAACACAAGATAAAACACTATTTTTACCTTGATAACAAGAGTTTTGGTAGCAATTATGCACAATTAATTGTATTTACTACAGTGTAAGTCAGAATTATTCGCCCTCCCGTGAATTTTTGGTACTTTTTCCCAAATGATGTTTAACAGAGCAAGGAATTTTTCACAGTATTTCCTATAATGTTTTTTCTTCTAGAGAAAGTCTTACTTGTTTTATTTCAGCTAGAATAAAAGCAGTTTTTCTTTTTTTGTTTCTAATAATTCAACTAATAATTCATATGGTAAGTTAGCTATGGTACAGCATCAAAAAAGAAATGATTGACAGCTGTCAGTCACCTGCAGACTCTCCTCTGTGCCCAGCTTGTCTTTGAGAGAGGAGAGGAGAGCGGGCAGGATGACGCCGAGGTGCCGCGTCAGAGCATCTCCCGCCACCGCAGACAGAAACGCCAGCACACGCGTGTTCACCGGAGGAGCCGTCAGCTGCACAGGACACAAATAAACCATCAGAATAACACCATAGTCCAAATATAACAAGTGTGAGAAATATTTTAGTGTCAGCGTGAGACAAACACTCAGAAATCATCCTGAATATCTGATGCAAACTGCTGACAAACATAGAAAACTGCATGCTGTATTGCTCATTTTAAAACAAAATGCATGAATATAATGTAAATGTGGAGAATGTGAACTGATTGACTGACTCAATGCAGTACTCTGGAATGAAAGTCAGATTTATTTGTAAATAAATAACTGCGAATGTTAAGAGTTTGAGTTTAGTTATTCCATGACAAGATCAATATAGATAGCAGTAATATTACATAATTACTTTATATCATAATGATATGGAATGAATGAATAAAATTATAAATGTATCTCTAAATACAAATGCAAATATAAATAAAAAATTATATAGATAAAAATGATAAAATAAATAAATAAATAAATAAAAACAACTGTATGTACTGTGCAAAATTAAATTGGTATTAACCACATCCAAAATGAAAGATTTTTATTTTGTATGTATGCACATATATATATTCACATGCAAACTTTTTTATATATACTACAGAATATATAAATTCTATATATATTCTATATAAAATATATATGTATATGATACAAATATATAAAATAAATAATATATATATAATAAATATATATATAAATAATACACAACATTTATTATGTCAAAACAAACTTTTATTTTGGATATGATTAAAAGTGATTAATACTAAAGATATAAATAAACAACAAAATAAATGTATGTATAAACAAAAATATAACTATACATATAAATACAAATATAAACAAAAAACAAACAACTGGTAGAATAAATGAATGAATAAATGAATGAATGAATGAATGGATGGATGAATAAATAAATAAATAAATAAATAAATAAATAAATAAACAATGTATGTGCAGGGCAAAAATAAATTGGTATTAACCACATCCAAAATAAATGGTTTGTTTTGACAATTTAAGTGTGTGTACTGTATATTTTTATTTTGTATGTATGCACATGTATATATGTATATATTTGGGAAAATGCTTATTTATATTTAGATATAAAATATTTATGCATATGATACAAATTATATAGAAATTTAATTTATAGAATATATTTATTGGATATATATCTATTTTGGATGCGATTAAAAGTGATTACTACTAAAGATATAAATAAAAAAATAAATGAATATATAAATAAAACAACTATATATATATATATAT